TAATTCTTGAAGCAGTCCGAATTGAAATGTTCAGAGCATATTGAGGTAGATGGCTTAATTTTGGAGGTATCAGCACCACATTCATCAAAAAATTGTATCCACTGATTTTTACGTGGTTCATCTGCTGGTAGTCTACATTACAAACATTACATACATTACAAAGATTAAATTATTACAATTTTCAACGTGTACCAAAAAAAATGTTTACAAATGTTACTTACCGATGAAAGCCAACATCTGTTTTTTTCGCAGACCAAGAACGTTTACACAAAAAACAACTTAGCATTGTTTTAGACCATAGAGCACAGAGTAAAGAATAGAGATGAAGAATTTTACTGTATGTTTAAAGTTTTAAACTTTTAAACGAAAATTCTAATTTCAAAACTTGGGACTTAGTAGTTTAGTGGGCGCCAATATACAACGATAACATTTAAAAAAATTAAACAATTTAAAATATGATAACTGTGTCTTATCAGTGATTAGGTTCAGTAAGGGATACAATAGTTTGATGCTTTTCAATTGGTCACTCTAAGCGTTCTCCATCTAAATGCTTCACTTACGTATACGCATGGCCACCCCGCGCGACAAACACATAAGGTACTGGCCTATTTCTTCCAGGTAATGGTTGGGTATTTGGTATGCCAAGTTCACAGTTTTCCAATTTTTCATATAGGATACTATTCTTTAACACGCCTCCATCTGAGATCCTTCCCTGACACCCGACATCAGCAAACAAAAAGTTGTAGTCTGCTAATGCAAATAGCACTGCACTAAAAGTGGCCTTATAATTAAAGAACTCGGTTCCAGAATGTATAGGAGCTTGAATTACAACATGTTTGCCATCCATTGATCCTAAGCAGTTTGGAAAGTTCCATTGATCAAAAATCGTTTTGATACATTTAACCACTTCTCAGGAGTCTGGGGCATCTAAACAGCATACATGTAATATTTTAAATCATGCAGATAACAACATAATTACTATTTTGCGTATGACAGACTAACAAATAATAATCTACAATTTTATATTAATATTTTTTATAATTAAATTTAAAAATGTTTTATTTTATTGTATAAAATATTAAATAGGTTTATAAAAAGAATTCGAAAAATACAATATACTTATACAAAAATACATTAACACATAAAAAATGTTACAATTTTTTTTGTTAAATTATTTATTATTAGGTATAAATAAAATAATAAAATTTGTACGTATATAAAATGTTTAGAATGATGTGTGTTTTTTTTGTGTCTGTGTACAGCATAACTAGTCGAAATAATGCTACAATTTCAAACTTTGGGGGTGGTTCTCGATGGTAAAGTGGATATCCTAGATGCATTATAGAGGTAAAACGTAAACATTTTCCGACAGTTTTCAACATTGGCGGAGCCAAAATATTTGAAAAATTAATACAAAGTTCCTCATAAGGTATTCTTATGGCGATAAAAAAAATTATAAGAATACATAGGCACAATTTTTTTTTATTAGCATTTGAATTTTAAATATTGACAAAAATTCGTCAAAAATCATGAATATTTTTAACTATTTGGTAGTTAAAAATTTATAATTATTTTACTATCAAAATCAAAGAATTGAAAATTTAATACTATGCTGTCCATAAGTTAACCTTAAAATAATTATAAAAAACTTTGAGGAATATTCAATTTAAAAAATTTTACGAGTGTATAAAGTTTTAATTTTAATTTGAAATCAAAAATACACGTGTAAAATACGTGTAAACGTTTTACTACTAAATAATTTTCGATTTTTGTTATTTTTAAAAAATTACTAAATGTAAGATATTGAAACTTTTACTTAAATGTTTAAATTTGTTTCAAAATAGAATATATGTTTTTTTTTTTTTAATATCTAAATTTGATTTTCCGAGTTTCTAAAAATAAGCTCTTAGTTATAATCTATTATAAATAAATATTAACCTTAAGCTACGTGTTTATAACGTTGAATTCAATGCCTT